GCAGCACCAAGAGCACTGGGAGGAGGCTGGAGGTGGATGCTGAGCTCCCGCAGCGACGGGCAGGCACGCAGAGCTCCTCACTCATGTGTCACCCCCCACTGAGGCACCTGTCACCCAGTTAAGCCCAAACACTTGCTCGCCCTGGTCTCAGTGAGATGCAAACAATTAACTCTCCCCATCCCGGGTGCTGGCCGCTGGTGTGGGGTGACATCCTGCAGCACCCAGGAGTGGTGGCACTCACACTGCTGGGCACCTGCGGTGGTTTCACTCCTTTGGCTGCAACCATGGTCGCTCTGTTACCCTCACCCCTCACTCAAGGGAGCAGGGAAGAGAAGTTGAAGGAAAAGGGCAAGGAGATTCATGGGTTGAGATAAAAACAGTTTACTAATTAAAATAAAATTATAATTATGACAGTAATAACAGAATATGCAAATGAGTGATGCCCAGTGCAGTTGCTCACCACCCACTGACCAATGCCCAGCCTGTCCCAGCCAGTGATCCTGGAGCACAGACAGTCCCCAAACCCAAACCCTGGGAGAGTGAGAGCCTGAGTGATCCCCGAGAGAATCCCCCTGGTTTCCAGTCAACCCTGGTCAACATAACCGACCTCAGTCCTGGCTACTGAGAGGAAAATTCACTCCACCTGAGCAGAACCAGGACACCACACAGCTCAGCAGCCCGGGCACGGCACAGCTGCCCTGGCCGGCGGGAGCTGCTGGATCTGCAGGCAGACAGACATCAATCCTACACCTTTACAGAGCAGAACCGCTGGCAATCAGGCTGGTTCTGGGTTTTTTTTCAGTATTTGTAGCCTGTTAATTTGTGCCGTGGGGCAGAGGAGCAGCCCTGGGCACGTGGGCACAGCTGGGGATGAGAGGACTCAATCCCAGCGTGGACGCTCCCTCCTCATGCCAAGTTCAGCTGGATCCATCGGCTGGCCGAGCCCAATTACCTTAATTTGTGGCATTAAGGAAAAATCCATAAGCATCAGGGAAGTGATGTGCAGCAGTTTATTGGGACCAGTTGGCCATGGAGCCGCTGGCGCTGCCCGTCCCTGGCTCTGTGTCCACACTGGGACATGGCTGGTGGCACGGGAGGCAGCCCTGGAGCCACGGAGATTTCCTGGAATATTTTTTTGGGGGGAAAGCACCATTTCTGCTTGCCCAGGCGGGAAGAGGTCAGACCTTGGTCTCTCCCTGGTGTTGCCCGTGTCATGGTTGGGGGTGAGATGGTGGCTGGGGGCTTTGAGGGGCTGAGTGTGGCACATAAATCCCATTTGGGGATGGGGTGCAGGTGTCTGCTGGTGTTTTTACCATAATTTGGGAGATGATGGATCTGCTCCACTGCTCACTTCTGGCTGTCAGACACAATCCTCTGTGCTGCTCGGGCCGGATCCTGCACCTGCAGTGTGGATGCAGGGTCTGGAGATGCTGCCTGGGGATGGAGGCAGCTCCAGGCACATCTTTTCCTTTCCCTTCTGTGGATATTGGGGGATTTACTGGCATCCAGGAAAAAAATGAGTGTTTTAAATATATATGTACATACGTATATACATCTAGAGCTCTGTAGTGAACAAAAGAGCTGCTGGGAAGCGGCTGCAGCCTGTGAATGGGTGTCAGGGAATCACACACGGATCTGTGCCGTGGCAAAATCAAGCCTCGTCCCTTCTTATCTGCAAAAGAGCCTGTGTTTTACATGAAAAAGCCTTTCTAATTAATAGGACAGCCCCTCTTGAGCTCGAGAAAAAATGGAGTCAAAAGGATTTGATTAACCCTGGCTCTTTTCAAGGCGCGTGCTCTGCCTGAGCGCGACGCGTGCCGGCGCCCGAGCCCAGTCCTGCCCGCGGCCGATAACGGGCTCCCTTCATCCTGCCGAGCCTGGCATCATCGTGCCCATGGGCATCCCCAAATCTGCACATTGATGGAGCCAATTTGGGGGTGTCCTGACCCCAACGTTGCCATGCTGGGATGCTGCAGAGCCAGCCCGTGCCGCCGCTCGCTCCACGCCGTTGTGGTTTCCTTATGAATATCTTTTGCTCCGACCGACCGCTATTTTTTTTCCCTGTGATCGGATCCATTTGACTAAACTAATACATATGTATACACAATGGTGCATTCCCATCCAACCCGATGCAAATTACCTTTGACCAATACATTTTCCTGGGAAATCAATGCATTTCAACACTGGATAATATTTATGAAATTGAATTTTTTATTGAGGCTAATGCAATTCTCTTCTATTTTATGCATTTTTATTAAACTAATGCATTTCAAATTAAACTGTTGTATATTAACTACAATGGCTCTTGGTACTTACAGTAAAATAATATATGTTTGCTGAAATCAATACATATTCCAAAGGTAGGAATTTCCAGTTAACAAGGCTATATCAAATAGAAGAAATGCGTGTAGCTACTTAATTTGATGCTTATATACACTGGCTGCTATATTTGTTTATTGGTAATGATTATTTTTAAAGGGAGAAAGCTTATTAAAGGTAGAAAGATGGATTCTCGTGCAGCTCAGAGCTGCAGTTTGAAGCCAGTGGTGGTGGCCACCCTGTCCCCAGTGCTCAGGCCAAGGTGGGACATGGGGGTGGCCCATGTGTCCTGGAGCTGGCTGGTGGCTGAAGCCCATCTCCTCTCTCACGGGTGGCCTGTGTCCTCAGCCACATCCCTGTGCTTCAGTTCTTGTTGCGGGGGGATTTGGGGACATCCTTCCCTTTCCTTGGGTTTGGGGACATCCTTCCCCCTCCTTGGGCTTGGGGACATCCTTCCCTTTCCTTTGGTTTGGGGACATCCTTCACCTTCCTGGGGTTTGGGGATATCCCTCCCTTTCTTTGGGCTCACCCTTGCCCATCGCATCCCCCCATCCCACAGCCTCTTTCTGCTGGCAGCATCTCAGGAGCTTTGGGAGGGTTTTATCCATCTCCCTTTGGTGTTGGGAAGGTTTTAATGTTGAACAGCTTATTCCAGACAGATTGAATTTAGCAGCTTTGCCTGATTCAGCTGATTTTCACTCAGAAGGATATAACACCGCAGTAATGTTCATGAGGATTTGTCCAGCTCAGGGGTCTGGGGAAGAGCTGGGAGCTGATGGCCAGAGGACAGAGCAGGTGACGGGGATGAGGATGGACAATCCCCCATCCCCGAGCTGCTGGCCTGTCCTGGGGATGTGCCCTGCGCTGTGCACAGGATGTGGCCCCAAGAGGAGGTGGCTGTCCTGGCCTCCCGAGCTGCGGCACTGACAGGGGAAAGCCATAAATAGCAGCATTATCCGCCGTGCGCACGCCGAATGGCGCCGGAGTCGAGATAATTTGGGTGAAGCAATAAAAGAGGAAAATTAATTAAAGAGCATGTGCTAATTGTAGGAGGAATGTGCCTGAAAATAAGTTGCCTTGGCAGAAATGCGGGTGGTGGAGGGGCTTGGGCACCCTCCCT